TATGAAAATTTATTGCTGGTATTCTTACCATTAAAATGTATTTTTACACTTTCATAATATTTTGACCCCTGTTTAGGGGTTCACTATTTTACCAGAGTGGACCTGGGAACACCAGCAATTAAGAGGTTAAATACTGCCCAGTAAGAAGTCATGCTGCCGGATGTAGTTCATCGTCAGGACGACCAACTGAATGCCTTTCTCATTATGCCAACAACACGTCGCTGTCATCCTGGGAATTTACGATGCAGGAAGAAAAAGATAATGAATTAGAAACAATATTGCTATATTTAATAACAAGATTATCTAAGAACAGGCGACAGCGTCGTATGAATTAATTCAATCAGAGTAATGCACATGAACGTGTAAATAAAATCAGTCAAAAAATAATTACACCATCGCAAGGTAACTCGCTTTTCCAGACAAGTGGATCTTATATATAAGATACGTTGATAAAGAGACTAAAAAGAAATGGTAGTTTCCCAGTAATGGAGTAAGTACCTGGTACTTCCAGCTATCATCTATCTTTACAAGAGCTAGATCAGGCCGAAAATTGAGTACTGCTTCTATATATGGGCAGGAGCTGACCAGTCTTCGCTTTCCAGTCTTAATAGAGCCCAAAACTGTTTCCTCTGTCATCTGCCTTTACAAGGGCTAGATCAGGCCCCAAATGAAGCACTACTGCCATATAAAGGCCGCAACTGCCCAGTCTTCGCTTTCCTATTTCGATAGAGTCCAAAAGCGTCTCTGCGACATTGTGGGGGGATTTTCCACCCTACAAGCACTTTCTCACAAACGAAAACTCGCCAGCCTCTCGCTGTTCTATAGCTATACCCATAGAAAGTGCTCAGACGAACTACATTCGTTAGTTCCACCATTTCTAACATTCACATCTAGGACCGACCATTCCACGCATATTATAGCGAACTATCCCTCGTATTCCATTGCTGAGTTGAGATTTGCAATTCGAAATGCTGCTTTGTGGGACCGGCTCCCAAGGGAATGCTTTCTTGATTACGTTGAATACGCGATCGAAATCGATATTTGGTCGGGTATGTCAGTCACATAAAAAATGCCGGTTTATTTTACAGGATCCATATTTGACCAATATTCAGAAATAAATATCAATTTGGTTATGAATATATTCACTTGCATCATAAAGTCTAATAGTGTAGCCATTCATGGGGGATCAATTTATTATTTGATAACTATAGAAAACCGATCACCCATTTCATGTTTCGGAACTGCTATCGTCCCTCTTCGGGCGATGGTAGATAATCATACTTATTATAAAACCCAGGTTGTGTGTGTGTGTGTATCTGTTCGTTTATATATTGGATCGGATTTCCTACGTTTTTCAACCGATTTCAACAAAACTTCACAGGACTACGTAAAATTACCTTGCAGTGGTTCTGACAGCACCAAAAATTGGAAAAACACAATTGTTTTTGCACGAAATCAATTTGAAAACCCGATTAAGAGACATCGTTGTCGAGAATGAAAGGGGGACAACTCATATCGAGTTATACTTATTATAAAACCCAGGTTGTGTGTGTGTGTGTGTGTGTGTGTGTGTGTGTGTGTGTGTGTGTTTATATATGAGATCGGATTTCCTACATTTTTCAACTGATTTCAACAAAACTTCACTTTTTTTTTTGGCAGGTAGTGTTTCTTATTGTCTTGCACACTTTTTTCTTTATTTTTACATTCAGAATGCTTTAAAAATTCCATTTACAAGACAATTGTTTATAATAAAATTCTATTCAATCGATAGACACATAACGATTGAAAACAATGTTTTTGTTTGAGTTTGTGTTTGACCAATTCGTTAAAAAAACAAAAAAAAAAATAATTCAGATATGCGTGTGTGTCAACCTTAAACAATAATCTTTGTCAATTTTATTTTTCAGTCTTTATGATGGTCGATACTTGATCTATCTCTTACTGTTACATCCCCGGGCAACGCCGGGTTCTACTGCTAGTATATGATAAAATGATTTATTTGGGAAATTTGAAAACAAATTGTTACCTATTTTCAAAGTTAAAATGGGTAGGGGGAACCTAGTGACAGAATTAAAGCATATACTTGTGGGCATGTTTGGATTAACCAATTAAAAATCAGATCGGAAGGAGGTGGTTTATTAATACATGTCTTGATAAATTGACACAGTCAGCGGAGGATTTGATTGTTGCCTTGAAGTAGAACAAACTAGTACCCAACTCTGAACTTGAACTCTGGACGATTGTTTTCACCTTAATTACATGTTCTTAGTTCTTTCTTTTTTTATTCTTCATTTTTCCTTGGGTACTAGTTTGTTCTACTACAAGCCAAAATACCCAAGGTTTTTCCAAGCAGAGTACCACCATTTATATATATATATATATATATATATATATATATATATATATGTGTGTGTGTGTGTGTGTGTGTGTGTGTGTATATATATATATATATATATATATATATATATATATATATTAATTGATTTAAATCAGTTAAATC